GAAGGGTCGTTCCCACCATTTATATTAGGTTTCTGTTTGAAACTGCATTCTGTGGGAGCCTGTCTCTTCACTGATTATAAATGGAGCCTAGAGAGAGACTGTACCACAAGCTTTGGGGGTTATTCCCCTCCAACCTGTCTTCTGCAAAAAGAAATCCCCAAAAGAACACATACAGACACTTCCTTGAGGTAAATGACAAGAAAAAAAACCCTAAATGTGGCTCTGAACACAGAGAGCATTCCCACATTAAACTTATATTTGGAGACATTGTTGACTTAGGAACTAAAGGTATATTGAAACAGAATTAAATTTATCAGTTGCTAATTATCTTTCTGACAGAAATGAATGCTGGCTTAACACCTATAATCTCTGCTTCTTGCTTGCAGAAAAATATTCACATGACAGGCTTCCACTCTTACCAGGAAAAAAAAAAAAAACTCTAAAAAGCTGCTCATGAATAAGTGCTTCTTTTGCTTGCAAATGAACAAGAAAGTAGCAGAAAGATGATATTGTACACAGAAAACTAGATTCCATTACTTCACCAGTCAACCCAGCTTGTCCTGTAGAAAAATTCAGAGCAAACATAACTGTTCTACTGCAGAGAGTCAAAATTAATTCTCAAAAATCAGGTTTGTTTACTTAGATTACAGCACTAAGTAGTCTGTGCTCTAACTTCACTGGTTATTCCATTTTGCAATATTGTATCAAACACAAGGCATTCAAACTGTACTAGTTGCAGAAAGTCTAGTGGCTCCTATTGTTTGAATGTGTTATTCAGTAATGGAACAAAACACAGCTTGCTACTACAAACATCGATAAAAATGTACTTTAAACTGATGCAGTAGTCTGAATGCCAAAGTGAAAAGTCCAGAAGAAAAAGTCAGAAATCAAGCTGAACAATGCATTTCCTTCCTTTCCCAAGCTAGGTATGACCACACTGAATGGAGGTGGGGGGAAAGGTTGTCAGTTTTATCCGATGCCTCATTAGACAGTCGACAACTTATTCTGAATTGCCAAAATTGACATATGTGTATCAAATCATTAACTGTTCTGTTACTGGTATTCCTGTAGAACTTGACACTCAACTTGCTTGTTTCTTGATTAGAGAATTTCATTCTTGCAGAATTTTGGAATAGAATTATTTTCTATGCCATTGCCCATTTTCAATAAAAGCAGTTTTATCTTCAAAATGTCTTCTTCAGCATGAAATACTAGTGTATACATAGTTTAAACTCTGACTATATTAAAGTGTTCAGTTGTACATCAGGAAAGAGATATGTGTCTCCTTTTTTTTTTTTTTTAACCACAACGTAAAATTGCAGTTAAGGCAGCAGTGAGAAGTAGTGTTTTTTGTTGACCAAGGGAAAACATAAACGGCTATGTACAGTGGTGTGTGCTATGCCCCAGAAGTTTTAACCCCAAAGAAGTAACATGTTTCTCTACTAAATGCGGTAGACAAAGATCTGGTCAGCTGCAACACAGAGAATGCTTCCTGCTTTGCAAGTTCCCCGAGTTGTAACATTTGCCTTTTGCTACCCTGTGCATTGCTCAGTCTCTCAAGTCAGACAACCTGCCCTAAAACCAAGAATGTAACAACATCCCTGTGAACATCTGTTTTAAACTGGTACAGCAACAGGAAAAATATTTTTAGTAAGACTGCATTCTTGCAGTTATCAGAAAGTGAACTGCTGAACAAAAGAAATAAGGAAAGGAGACATATATTCTTGTTTATTCTCCATACAGGACAGCGTACACATTTCAAAGTTAACAACTGCATGATCATCTGTGTTCTCTTTCAACAGTGGTTAGAAGGGCTGTTATCAGGCCTATTCTAACGTCTACCAGGTCCTCCTAACCACTATTCCACAAGATAGAACTACCTGCACATTACATTTTGGTTTGGTTTTCTAACTTATTTCCCCTACTTGACTGGCTTCTTTATGTGGCTCATAATACAGAGAGCTTGTACAAATGGTGATTATTACTCCATATGATATTGGAGGCAAAAAGCAACCATGTTTGGCAAAAAGAACACAATTCAGCTCATTATCATGACTTGAGAGGTAGTGAGATAAGCCAATTATAATTTCTCATGATGCTTCTTAAAACATGAAGGGAAATCTATATCATCAAGTCATGCAGAAGTATGTTGTCTACATTTTAAAGCTTAGTGACAAATGAATAGAAGTGCACAGATTGAAAGTGTTCCTACAAATAAGACTATAAATGACAGATTGACTGATACACATTTGAACAACTAGATTACTAATAGCATTCACTCACATATAAAGAAGAATAACAGTTGGCAAAGTATAGGATTACTTTCCTGGTTACAAAATAAGAGTTAAAATATTGCATTTGTGCCTTTTAGTATTCGTCATGAGAAGGGAAGTGGTATATAAAAAATGTATACAAAAAGCTGGAGTATATCTCTCTCAAACAAGAAATAATGAGTCTTTAGTTCTTATTTACATGGATTTATGAAAAACAAGGAATGACATCAGCAAGAAACCGAAATTGACCTGATGTTTTTCCAACCTCAGCCACATAAGGAAGTTACTAGATTGCTCAGCTTTTTTTTTTTTTTATTCACACCTGCTACTCCTTAGTATCTGCCAAATCTGTAGGACACAAAAAAATTTATTCCTCAAGCTCCATATGAGAGTTACAGAAGCTGCTGGTCTGCTTTCAGTCAGCTTAAATGCTATTATAACAAACAGTTCTCAATTTGTTATTCTCCAAGTTTAACAGGCAAGACTTCAATATTCCTTAGAAAAAAGCCACAGAAATTTTTAAAAGAAAACTAAAACCTTATATCCAGCTGTTCACTTGCAATTCCATATGCTTCTTTGAAAAGTTCATTTAAATAACTGCTCTACAAGCAGTAGAACTAACAAAGCTTTTTTAGGGATCACAGCTTTTATTCACCAGCCAGTCAATATATGCTCATCAGTGTACCCACATTTTTGCTAGCAGCCCTGGTAGACAAAACATTATAAACAAGTCCCTTCTATTCAGCCAGGGGTGTTGACGAGCCTGTAAGTACTAGAGCATCTCACAGCTGTGGCTCTTCCCCAGATGCTCATAAGGGTTTTTGTTGGCCATAACAAAATGGTGTTACAGGAAACACAAACTAACAGACAAACCATCACTAATTTGTTTCCCCAAGTAGTCGGGCTGGAAATGGCAATTTAGAAAGGTACATATATCATGCTCTGAAGAAAAATGGTCAGAAACTACACTAACATCTGCACGTGAAACTACGTTCTTCAGGTTTTAAAAACCAAACATAGCACTGCAAATTTTACTGCCTTAAGGTTTACAGAGAAAGTACTGGAACACCAAGTGATACAAATGACCCAGCAAATAGACCATGGTTAAAAAACATGCTGAGCACAAACAACACAGAAAAAAACACTACTTCCTCTCCTAAAGCTCAGTAGTTACACACAACTGACAAAGTAAAAGGAAACAACACTTTGCCATTTTTATTTAAACAAATTGCTTGTTATTCTGCTATTTTTACACAGCTGCTTCTCAGAACTCTGGGTTTTTAATACTACTTTCATACTTTGCATTTAAAAAATCTTTCATTCAACACTTGAAAAACAGAGGTAATTGATGCATAAAATTAATTTTAATATTTTCCTTTTAAATTATTGAACCTTATTTACAAACTAAAAACGTCTTTTCTTTGCGGTACTCTGCAGGACTACAACATAAAAACCAAGTGTAATTAAAATGGTATAAATTCAAAATGCTGCACTATAAAGCAAGGTCTTAATCTGGAAATATGCTAATATTCAGATACAATATTAAATTAAGAACTGAAATACAGATTCTCAGACAAGCAAAGTAAGTCAAATACCTTTAGCCTCCAGTTATCTCCTACTTCTGTTTTGATCCTGTTCAGCCAATTTTCATCAAAGTAAGCTGGATCTCTGAAACACAAAAAATGTAGAGTATTCATTAAAGGCAGGGTTACAGAAACTGTGAGGATACATCAGTGATCAAGTCCCTATCTCAGGCTGAGGTTATTTAAGTGACCACCTCTGTATCCAGCACAGAGTCTTTATATAGTAGTTCAGAATCCTGCTACTACTCACTTTTCTAAGGCCTTCACCCCGTCGACAGCACAGCTTTATCTGTGTACCATGAGTAGCTAATACTTTTGAGGAAGCTGCTGTACTTGGAATGCATTTTGCCAGTTTTCCCCTCTTCCTCGAATTTATCAGCTGGTGCTGGAGCAATATTTGCTTGCATTACTTGAAAGAGTTACAAAAATTATTACTTTTCCACATATTATGGATCCTTACTGTTATGCAATGCCACCAACTATTCAACATCTAAATGGGAAGCTTGAGACTGAACAATACATATGTTGTCTTTATACAGTGAGAAGAGTTAAAAAGCATCACTGAAGTTAAGTACTTACTACTGAAAACACACACTACTGTTACTCCATCTACCAAACACTATCAGGTTTTGCAAATATCTTTTCATGGTAACACTAGACAAATCTTTTTGTCAACGTGTTTCCTTAAAAGTTTTTCTATCTTCTGCACTTTTGATGAGGCAATCTAGATAAAGAACAGAAGAACACCTACTGCTTACAGAGCATAATTCTATTTCTAGAAACTACTTCCCTCTCTTCCTTTTTCTCACAAGCACCTTCTGTAACTTCCTTCTTCAAGACAACTCCCAAGACTCTCTTGCCCCCAAGTTCCAAGGCTAACATTTTCTAGTGTTCATTTAAGTCAAATTTTCCTTGTATCATACAGAATTTTGAAAATGGTATTATCAGAACTAAGGAGAAAGAATGCACTACAAATAACTGGTTTTAAAGGAGTAGGTCACCATAATATAAGGAAAAGCTCATATTTCATCCAACAGATAAAGTTAATATAGCCAGGGAAAAAAAACAACTTTACTTTTTTGTAAACAAAAGGCTCTTAAGAGTCAGGGTGGTAGGCCAGGTTGGAGTTTCACATTAAGTATTCTGATTTCTGGACTTACACTGCTGCATTTGCCATCAAGATCAGATTTACTGCTGTATCCTCTACAGATCGAAGGGTTCTGGACTGAGCTCTTTTTTTAAGGGCAAGATGCCATGAGATTTTTTGGCAAAAACTCAAGAAAACCATGAATGTGTCTGGAGATTGAAATGACATCTACATCATATATGTTGTAAACCAGCAATTACATCAGCACTTGTATTAGGGCACAGACTTTGCAGCTACACGTTGTGCCTGATGCACAGTATCTCTTGTACTCCATCTTCCCCATAATGTCTTCTTCACAATGCTTCAAGGTCTGCAAGCAGTCCGTGATATAATACACAGCAATGAGGAGAGATCACAAACAGCAATGTTTCTCTACTGACACATTCCAATTGCTATTTTTACACATTCTGTTACAAGCTCTGGTGAAGATTATGGCATATTTCCTTTCCTCTGACATGGCATCTGCAAACATATAGCTGGAAGAACAGCTTTAATTACTAGTTTAAGTTGATGACTCCAAATTACTCCCATTCACAAACAGCGCAGTTCTAGCACAGATGACAGAATCTTAAACTACGAAACAGAAAAAGCAATGTCTTATCCAGAGTTTCATCTGGTTTTGAAATAGATGTTTTCAAATAGCTTTCAAGTGGCCTCTCTGCCCTCAGAAGACAGGTAAACCTAAGAATGAAATTGATTTGAATACATACAAGATCTACTAGAGATGAAGGCTCACATTCAGCTTTTACATGAAACCAATGGCTTTCCTTGCAAAAATTCTTCATTTGCCTAACTTCCACTCAATCACAAGAAAATCACCTGGACAGTAATGAAAAAAATGACAGTTCAAGCCCCATGTAGTGGAGTTCAAAAAGCACCCTCATATCTTTCAGATGGGTCTTCTGGGAATTGCCAACAAACAAGGGAGCCTCGGTTACAACATGCTCACATCTACGAAGTGTTTATGCAGCTGAGTGACAAAGCAGGACTCTTAAGGACTGCTTATCATTTTAAGAATTGCACTTGGTCACTAACATCTTCAGCTGCTTCAAGGCTGCAGTGCCACAAATAAACCAATTCTTACCATTTCCACTGTAAAGCAACATTTGTTGTAAGGCAACATGGGTAAGCATAAACAACTGCCCAAAAGCAGAATTATATCTGGACTGACTAGAAGGCTAATACTGCATACCCTTCAACAGTAAGAGCACCAGCTGAGGAAGAGTAACAAGATTTCAGAGTCAGCTCCAACTCATTCCACTTTGGAAGCCTGTACTTCAGTAGAAATTAAGCAGCTTTTCTCAGCTACTACTGCAATAAAAGTAACATGTGGACCGGAAATTGGCTTTCACTGTCTTGATGGAAGTCTTGGACTACCTACACCTTTATATATGTCATCAGACATATATAAGGAGAGGTCCCTGAGAAATAAATCTAAACTCAGTCCTCTCTCAGAGATCCCATTTGTTTTTTCTTTTTAAGTATACAAACCTCATGGAAGTATCCAAGGGTCCAGCAGCTGATAAGCAATCTACTCTAAATCATCAACACGTAACAGTGGTCAGAATAGTACCAAAAATTCTCTTTACAGCACCTTCATGCAGATTACACAATAATTAGTAGTATATCACAAAAACACTTTGCCAGGAATACAACAAGCAGAAAAGCAACAGGTTGGGTATCAACACCAAACAAATCTAGAATGATCATCTTTTCCTTATCCATAAATCACCTCAGAATCATTGCTAGTGTGCCATTATAATTTCATTGCTGTCCTCCAAAGTCCAATTAAGGTTCAGAATTAATACCAACAGCAATGCCTTCTCTATATATCAAACTAATGGAAATCAAATCTGAAATAAAATATTTTTCCACCAGAATTTCTATAAATACTTTTAAAAAGGGGCTTCCAGACATTAGGTCATTCACAGCGCTTGCTGCCAACAATTCTCCCTCTGCTGAATCTTTGGGAATCGTGACTCAACCATATTCAGAGTTCTTTAGCTCCCTTAGTCCATGTCATTAAGAAAGGTGCTGTCATTTCTTAGAGCATTTGAAAAAGTAAATATGAAAAATGTATGGTTGAGAACTGAGCAGCTCTGATTACAAAGCCTACCAGCTCATTTAGAAGAGGTACTGCACAAAACAAGGGCAGCAGAAAACTGAACGGAGCATCATCTTTACCGTGAGATGACTTGTCTGAACCAAGCATTTTGAATTCAGTAAGTTCTTGAGCCCAGATCTAAATTTACAGTCACTTGCACTGGATAACTTTCCAGGTTTATGGAGGTATTTGTATATTACTTGATTGCTGCCTAATAGCTGAATAGTACTGATGGTGACTGGGACTTTTCTTCAGAGCACAAGATACTTACGCTGTTGTTAGTGCTGTATCCCTCCATGTGATGTTGTTTTCATCAGTGCTCATTTACACCATCTCCATCTTATTTTGTATGCAAATTTTCCTTTATTTAAGCAATCATGTCTCCACATCATAGATGCCAAGAGACAGAAATATTCTTCTGAAGAAAACCAACCCACAGAGCATGTAGTGTAACTCATGATTATTACTCATTTGAACAGCGGTACAGTAAGCTGCTTTAAGAAATGTCTGTTTACAAAAATTTCCCTCCCCCAGCGATATACGAAAGCATGGCTTTTGTGTTCTGCATGTGTCAAAACATACGCAGCATGCTGCAATGTATAATATAACAAATGAATAATTCATTACGCAGTGCACAGTGCATAGATGACAAATGAAAATACATATTACATTTACCAAGGCCAGTATGACACATCAAGAAAGAATTAAAACAAGAGGGACACCTGGTACTAAACAGTCTCCAGAGTGGGATGAAAGGAAAATTTAAAACTAATATAGAATGGGGAATTATGCTGTTCTAGGGATAACAACAGACAGTGAAAACATGAGTAACATCAGTGAAGGCTACAGAAAAACACAAAGAAAAAGAGGGTGCAGCTCAGAAGCAAGCTATGGCACTTCTGTCTGCTCTAAAAAGTATAAGCTAAATGATTTTAAGCAGACAGTCTACTCATAGACAGTTCAAACATTTTCTTTTGCTTCCAGTCTTTACTCCTGAAGTACAGCATTTTGCAAAATAATCAACACTGACTGTATACTGGCATCTTACTGTATTTATACCAATGCTAGTCAGAGCAACTAGTAACTTTCACATCTGAACACAAATGAACAGTGAATCTTGCAGAGTAATACCAAAAAAAGACAAGCTGAAGCATAGGCTGAACTTCTTTCTCCAAGATAATATAGTCAGCACTAGGGCATTCCATTCAATGGTACTTTAACCTGGAATTTGAATATAAAGGTTTTATGATAAAAAAGAAAGTGTCCTTCACGGATTTACCAGCATCTATTTATTAACAACTGAATCTGCAAGCAAAACGCTCATGCTTGGTTACATAGCACACATTTCTGCCATCTTATATCACTCTACATCAATCAGTGAAAAGCTTCTGAAGATGCCAGTAATTCCCTCTGTACCCTTTTCTTCTCACAATCTCTTCCAGCAGTTTTACTACAGAAAGTTTTGCTACATGGGGTGTTACTTCTGATGAATGGCCCTTACTTACAAATGGCCTGCTACCTGGAATGCCAAAAGTATTGAGAAGAATGTAAAAAAAATTTGAAAACAATAGAAAGAGCTGATGGTCCCTTCTGAACACTTGACACAAGGCACCGATATTTTTTATCAGGTGATGAATAAGCAATATTCTTCCTCTTTTTCTTTCACTGACAATAAATCCTACAGTTCTGTGTTGTGCAAATTTTCTGTATATCTAAAGCAACTAATTCCCTGAACTAAGGATCACTTTGACACCATTCTTCATCATAAACCACTGTCTTAATTTCATCTTGTTTCCAGTATCTCCTGCCCCTTATAAGTACCAATGGACTCTTTCTGTGAAGGTGGAGGTTAAAAAAATAGAAAGAATAGAGAGTTCAGACTTTTAAACTTTAACGTTTTCAAGAAGAAATACTATCCTTACACTCCTACGGAAATATATCCAGATCACTGGATCACCCCAACATCTTTCAATTTTCATCAACGCTCTACCTCACTTTATTTAATTTCTTCACTGACTGCATTTTCTTCATTCATAGCAAGCTCTCTTCTTTTTACTTTTTTTGTTTTTAATTCTCACTGGATATACTAATCTGCTCTTTCAGCTATTTTTTAAACATTAACTAATTTACTAGAGTATAAAGTCCTGATGCACTCAAAAGTTATCAGAATTCTCCCCTCCTGACTAAGTTCAAGACAGATAAATACCCATATTAAATATGTCACTATCACATTTTTCTACATACTCTGAAAACAGATTCGCAAATCATTATGCTGAAATCCTGACTTATTATAAAGTTTACTGAACACACCATTTGTACGGTTACCACCTTTTTATACTCCAGCAGATAAAAAAGGACAGTCTTTCCAATCCTAAAAAAAAAGCAACAGTACACAATTTATGTTGTATTTACTTTCAGACTTGTAAACAATGTTTAGACTTCAGAAAACTTACAAGTAAGCTGACTTAAATGCTAGGTTGGACAATCCATTTCTCCTGGAGGGGGGTGGGGTGGGGGGGGGGTATTGTGTCATCTTTTGTGTACCATTAAAATACATTACAAAAGTAGAAAGACTGTTTCAATTACTTTGAAGCAAAAGGACTGCTAAGATTACTTGAAATCAGTTTTGTTTGATGAAAAAATACGTAAAGATTGGATAATTCTTATAAGTGATGCCGCATCTTCCTCATAGGAGAAATTAAGTGCAGAAAGAGATTTTTCAGCATTTGCATCTTCTTTGAAATTTCAGGTAGGAAAGTAAGACTGTTCTCCACTTCAAGCCCTTATGATTCTGTGCTCCAGATCTTACCTTTCCGCATGCTAAAAAGTGTTCCCTTGAAATATTTAACTACATCAAGATTTCCTCTTTCCCCCTTTTTACTTCCCGTGAACTGGCAGCTCTTTCTTTCACTAGGAGAAAGGCTCCTGCTCCACCTGAAGATAAGCAACTACAGAACAGATTCAGTGCCCTGGTAGCAGTTAAGGGCATAGGAGCTCTGTCAAACAAACCATCTGTGTTTAGTGAACCCAAGCCACCCAGCAGCACAAGAAGGAAGTGGCAAACATTAGCAAGGCATGGAGGACCTACATCTTCTGACTGAATCATCATCTCAGAAGTGTTGCTGCTTGCTAGGTGTTTGAATTCATGGCATTGTTGAAAGACTGCCAAAGTTTGCCCAGACCTCAGACTATTACTCCTTCTGCTCTTCCACCTTGGCACCAGCTATACAGCCAGGGAGACCTGGAAAGCACCAAGTGTGATTATATGGCTCTGGAAGGTGTCTATGGTCAAGGCCCAAGTGATGTTCTCCCCCACTGCACCAGGGAGTGGGAAAGGCTTGAAGAGCAGACAGATCCCGCAGGTCAATAACCAGGTGTGAACTGGTGTTGGCACCAAGGTATTGGTTTCTATGACCATAGAACCCTCTTTGGGAATCAAGGACTCCTTGGAAGCGTTGGGATCCACCTGACTGTGGTGGGCAGAAGCACCTTCACCAACAGGCTGGCCAACCTGCTAAGAACATTTTTAAACAAGGAACAATAGAGGAGGGAAAATACAACCAAACATCAAGAGACAAAGCAGTGGACTCTGTTGGCAGGCAAAGGGTGTGTGGGACGATGTGAGCAAGAGATACCTCATAGTCAAAGAGTGCTGAAGTGGAGTCACCCCAAGCATATGCACATAAATAAGGAAAGGCCTCCAGAAAAACAGTACAGGGAAAGCTCTCATTCTTGGGAATCAGCAAGACTGCACGCACATGTAAAGTGCTAGTGCACTAACGCATGCAGCATGGAGAACAAACAGGAAGAAACACAGCTCTGTGTGTAGTTACAAGGCCACAGTCTCACTGGGATCATGAAGACGTGGTGGAATGCCTCAGAAGAGAAGGTTGCTGCCATGAATTAATACAGGCTCTTAAGGAAGAGCAAACTGGGAAGGCAGTGACAGAAAGATGCCCTTTATGCAAGAGCAGCGGGAATGCATGAGTTCTGCCTTAGGATGGATGATGAGACAGCTGAGAGATTATGGGTCAGGATGACCAGCCAGACCAACATAGGTGATGTTGTTATAGGTGCCTGCTACAGACCACCTGACCAGGATAACATGATCACAGACAAACTGATGAAGCACAGCCTGGGTAAGTGGATAGTGAGGTGCGTTGAAAAATGGCTGAACTGCCAGGCTCAAAGGGTTATGAGCAGCAGCATGAAGTCCAGCTGGAGCCCAGTCTACTAGCAGCATATCCAATGGATCAATACCATTAAACACCTTTACTAGATGATGGAACAGAATGCAAGTTTTCAGGTAATACAAAACTGGAAGGAGTGTTTGATATACCTGATGGTTGTGCTGTCATTTGGAAGGACCTCAACAGGCTGGAGAAATGGGCTGACAGGAACCTTATGCATGTCAGCAAAGGTAAGTGCAAACCCCATGCACCAGTATATGCTGGGGTCCAACTGGTTGGAAAGCAGCTTTGCAGAGAAGCAGCTTGGTAGAAACCAAGCTGAACACAGTCCAGCTATGGCTCTTTGTAGCAAAGGCCACATCCTGGGCTGCATTGGGAAGAGCACTGCCAGCAGACCAAGGGAGGTACTACTCAGCTCTGGTGAGACCAAATCTGACGTGCTGTGTCCTGGGATCCCCAGCATGAGAGAGACCTGGACATATAAGGAAGCTCAGCAAAGGGCAATTAAGATGATTAACAAACTGGAGCATCTGTCATGTGAGGTGAAACTGAGCAAGCTGTGTCTGTTTAGCCTCGAGAACAGAAGGCTCAGTGGGATCTTATCAATCCTGTGTATAAATACTTGATGGCTCCTTCTTTATACCCTCAAGTAATCTTCTCAGTGGTGTCCACTGAACAGACAAGAGGCAGTGGGGACAAACTGAAAGACAAGTACTTCACCTGAAGATAAAGAAAAAAATGCCCCCTGCCTTCACACACACCCCCTTTTTTTTTTAAACTGTGAGGGCAATTGAATATTGGAACAGGTAGCCCAGAGCAGCTGTTGAGTCTCCAACCTTCCACATACTCAAAATCAGAATGGACACAATCCTGGGGCAACCTGCTCTAGCATATTCTGCTTTGAGCAGGTGAGTTGAATTAAACATTCCAGAGGTGCCTTCCAACCTCAACTCTTCTACAATTCTTTGATGCAAACCAGAACAACTCTAACACAAAGCTATTGGTATCTGTTCTGTAACTTGTCCAGTCTTCATTTTCAATAAATTACAAAGAAAATATTTTCATGTGCATTTACACTCAAGTCAGTACCCTCTTCATGTTAAAAGGAATAAAGTGCATCTTTTTTTAAAAAAAAGTAGGTCTGTAGGAACTGGTATGCGCAACTTGGACTGCTGACTTTGGTAAATGCTGCTTAAGTTCCTAATGAACAAGAAGAAGTTGTTCTTCTGTGAAAATAGGTAATCCTGCATATAGCTACGTTTCAGATGCCTATCTGTAGTTCCCAGAAACATCCTAGATTACACTGAGATGTTGAACTGATGCATTTTATCTCATTTGATCTTAAAGTTCAAAAAACCAAAAACATTTATCTAGTGTAACAGCTATTATTCCTTCACTTACTTTCAAGAACACAGCACCTCTGCAAACAACTAAATTGACAGTTCCATTCAGTTTATCACAGAAGTTCTATTGCACAGAGCTAATTCTGACACTACTGATACACTGGCTGTAGTTTCATACAATGATCACTGCCAATACCTTACCTTGCACTGGTTCCTGTAAGCTTAGTTTTAATCCAAATTACTTTCCAGTAAGCTCACACTTCAATAAATATCTCCATAAAACAAAATTTCTTTTTTGTTTTTGCACTTAAGATAGTTATCTGAAAACTACATAGAAAAAAACATATTAGTCATGTTCCAGATGAAAGTACTGTCTAAGCATAGGAAAAGCCTTATGGAATACCAGCCAAGTTTGAACTAAAATACACTTAAATACAGAAAAATGTACAGATAATAAAACTGTGTGTATTTAGTTCATTACATAAACAATTTCTTACATTTTTTGAAGAACCTGGGCCATCACAACCCCATTCGTTAAATCTTCCACGCTCTGGCATGGTGCCTCAACATTAAACGTTTGGATCTGTGGGAGAAAGGAAAAGGTTATCTTCTGTTACTTCAACGTCAAGGGATTTTTAAAAGTAAAAAAAAAAAAAAAATATGCTACCAAATAGCAAACAGAACAGAGAAAACCCTATAGGTTTAGTGTACATATTAGGAAGAAGCTTTAGATTCAATGACAATCAAGCAAATGAACTACTGACAGGGCTTAGCATCTTTGTTTTCGCAAGCTTTTAACTTTGCTACAAGTAACAGCAGTACATTTTCCAAAAGGCAAATTTTCCACAGCATTTTCTGATTTGGAAAGTCACTGGGCTTTCTGATCTCCCATTCAAGTACTTCTGGAGCATATATTCAAATACACTCTCTCAATGAACGTATGTAAGAAATTAGGCTTTCAGAAGCAACACTGATCACACAAAACTCTCATAGGCTCCCCATAACCAAAACATCAAATGTAGAGGGACATACACACTCCAAACTTTATTCCCTACAATCAGATGGAAGAAGAGAGATCATTGCTGCTAAACCCTAACATGTCTACGCACTACTAATGTTCTGAACATTTCAGGGTGTTTTATTAAGACAGTGACAGACAGTAAGGTACATATAATGGCAAGCCTCTGGTCTTCAGATGGAAACAAAGGTTCAAAAATGCAGCTATTCTGAAGACGAATGGCAAGGACCAAGACTAAACTGTTTGATGACAGTATAACTTATGACTGAAGATGAGTTAGTTTGTAACAAATTCCCCTCCACAGACTGCCCACTGAACACACTTACTGAGACCAACTTTAAGGTTAATTTTCTAACGATGCTGTGTAATACTCTGGATTATGCAGGAGCAAGAATAACCTCTTAACAAAAAACCTCACTCATCAATACACATAATTTCTGTATGGCTTCTATTCATCAACTCAATTTTCATGCATATAGCGTACCGGCTATCTGAAACCCTCCCCCTACCATATTGGCAAATGCACAAACACACAAGGCAAAAAGCTCTTTTCCCCCTTCTTCCCTTGATGTGGAAAAGAGCCTTTTTGCCTCACCACAGTCTTTTCAACCAGTCTAAGTTATTTGATCATTTACTTTAAATGAGCATTATTTTTAAATGATGTGGATGAGTTCTGTGAAAATAGTTTTGATGTCATGCTATTTGGAGAGTATCTGCCTAATGCTCTGTGCTATTCTCCGCCTCCTAGGAGAAGCCTGGGCTTACTTGTAGGAAGCACTACTCATATGCACCAAGGATAAGAAAGCCTATAGGAGAGCTTGCAGCTTCAGGCTACATAAATGTTAGATTTATCAACTATTTTTTTCTGAACATAATGTACAACTATTTATGCTTTAGTGGTGTTTGAATGCTGGTCCATTAGTCCACTCCACTAATGCTGGTCCAAGCCATTTCGCAGTAAATACCCTCTAGATATGTATCTTACAATAAAAGACAATTCATGTAACAGTGGTAAATTTTGCAGGCCCTTTTTTGAAGAGAAGGCTCTCAAAAAAATTGAAAGCACAATATCCAGATTCTCATAATACCTTTGGAATGTCATGTAAGCACTCCAGCAATGCCATTTAACATTAATTTGAAGAATAAGCACCTAGGTGAATGTTCCTTTCTTTCCTTTACTCTGGAAGAATGAAACATAGCACTCAATTAGAAAAAAAACCCGCAGTGATGTCCATGAAGAGTCAAAAAAATAAGCTCTCAGAGCATGTTTGCTGAGGAAGTTCAACAGCAACCAATGAAGAGACATGAATGATGTTCCAAGAGTACAAGAACAAATTGCTGTGTGGCATACGAGACAGAAGAGACTTCTACGCTTCAGATTCAGTATATTTTCCTATAGCTTGGTCTGAGCTACCTAGAAAACACAGCTCCTCACTTCTTTTCCAGAGAATCAAGAAGCCATCATAGATTGCCGAGACAGGAGGTTAAAATCAGGGTGGCTGGGTGGGAAAAACACCCACACATGTGAAAACCACCACACAGCCGGATATAGCATAAAATTGCTATTTCACCAGAAAACTGAATTTACCTACAGTCTCTGACTTGCAGCAATACTGTTGAAGGAATACAGAGAGAATTCCGAGTCTGAATCCACAAACTCAGTAACACATTAAACAGGAAATAACACTTTCCAGTGAAAAAAACCTGCATTGACATCATGGATGCTTATGCTTGAAGAAGTTCAAGATGCTATAAGGATACAATTCTCATGCATAGACAATGAAAATTTGTTTCTAATTTTGTATATTATACATGTAAATAATGAAGATTTAAATCACTTTGGTGCACAATAGCCAAATCAAAAAATTACTTAAGAAATACTAGTGCATCTTCAAACAGACTGCAAACTAATCAGACTTTTTAAAATTAATTTTGTACCTTGGTATATATAACATCTCCTTGACTAAATAAAAGCATACGTAGGATACACTGATGGAAGAAGAAAGGTTGCTAAGCCTATTTCCACGACACAGAAAAACAAGATGCATACTCTCTGCTGTTTTGTAACTGATTTTATCATCATAGTTCCCCAATGCTTTACAGACAAGAAAAGGTCAAAACTGTCATTAAGGCCCAGATAACCAGTCTGTAATGCTTTTCATAGTTAGATGACAAAGAACAGAAAAAAAAGACTAAAACTAATTATATGACTTGTTTCTTCACATAAGTTTACATTTTGTAATAAATGTCTTTGCTTGCACAGGAAAGGAATACACGCATAATACTTCAATTAAGGTGTGAAATTTATGCTACAAAACACTTATTCAGCTCTTAAAACAAAGAAACTATATCCTCTTCATATCCTTCAGAGATATGAAAGTAACAAATTTTCTTCCAAAAAACCCTACATAAAACAGTTTACAAATTTACGTCAAAGTTAAACTCCTATACAATTCTCAGATAGTTCTACAAAATGCTAAACCACTCCAAGAAACAGTACAGTTCATTTTCCAGAAGGGAGAAGAACAATAAGAATGTGGCAATGCAGAAGCAGAGTCCTGCTGTGGAGACAAAGAAGCAAATACTTTTTGTGTATGTGCCTCTAAACAGCTATTCAGCAACAGCTGTTAAAACACTGCCCTTCCTGTGCATTGTAATATGTTTCCTCCTGGAAGACTTCTCTCTCATCTTACTGGAACTGCTCTTACTTCTTGAGTGTTTTCAATACTGTCCCCATTGTTAATTCCCCAAAGCTGTAAATTAATTCCCTTTCTCTGCTAATATTTTTTTTTCCCCACTTCTTGTACCACTACATGGAGCCTTGACACAACAGCCTGAGGGACAGGATGCATTCAGAGGGACTTGGACAAGCTAGAGAAGTGGGCCTGTGTGAACCTCATGAGGTTCAGCAAGGCCAAGTACAAGGTCCTGCACCTGGGTTGGGGCAACCCCTGGTATCAGTACAGGCTGGGGGATGAAGGGATTGAGAGCAGCCCTGCGGAGAGGGACTTGGGGGTACTGGTGGATGAAAAGCTGGACATGAGCTGGCAATGTGCACTTGCAGACCAGAATGCCAACCATATCCTGGCCTGCATCAAAAGCAGCATGGCCAGCACGTCAAGGGAGGTGATTCTGCCCCTCTACTCCACTCTGGTGAGACCACATCTTCAGGACTGCATCCAGCTCTGGGGCCCTCAGCACAGGAAAGACATGGAACTGTTGGGAGTGGGTCCAGAGGAGGGCCACAAAAATGACCAGAGGGACAGAACACCTCTCCTATGAAGACAGGCTGAGAGAATTGGGGTTGTTGAGCCTGGAGAAGAGAAGGCCTTTCAGGCCAATCAGGAGACCTGATTGCAGCCTTTCAGTACTTAAAGGAAAGATCAGGACAGACTTTTTAGCAGGGCCTGAAGCAATAGAAGAAGTAACAGTTTTAAACTAAAAGAAGGTAGATTCAGACTAGATGTAAGAAAGAAATTCTTTACCATGAGGGTGGTGAAACACTGGAACAGGTTGCCCAGAGAGGTAGTGGAGGCCCCATCCCTGGGAACATTCAAGGCCAGGTTGGATGGGGCTCTGAGCAACCTGATCTAGTTAGCGGTGTCCCTGGTCACTGCAGGGGGGTTGGACTAGATGACCTCTAGGGGTCCCTTCCAACCCAAACTATTCTATTATTCTATCAGACAAAAGTCTGGGGGAAAAAAGGGAAAAAAACCCACCAAATACTTGGCTCAACCACTAGTCCTAGTAGAAGTTCACACCTTCTATCAACTGTAATGTAATGAAAGAAAAGAACCCTTTTAACCCAGACCTCTGATTCACATAGCCATGAACGTGAGCTGTCAACTTTTATAGAAACCTTAAAATAAGGAGTAGCAGGTTTCAGCGTGAAGGAGGCTATCACTGGAGACTAAATAATTGCTGCAGGAAGTCAGAATCTTAGAAAATCTGAGTTACAGTTCTGTATTACATATATGATGACTAGTGAGGATTTGTTAGCTACTAGGGATAGGAGGCAGAAATTTATTTCATGAAAAATATTATTAATATGAAGGTCAGAGAACTGGATAAACACTCAGTTCTCAAAGACAGTAAGCTGGAGACCAGGATGAAGGTTGTGATGGGGAATCTAGCATCCCACAAAGCTGGAGGAAAAAAAAAAACAAAGTAGAAAACCAAAAACCACACCCACCAAAAAAACCAAACAACAAAAAACCCAATCTTCTGTCTCCCCAAAGACAAAAAAATGCTCTCCAGCACCTTTCCCATCACAACACTAAGAGTTAACAAAAGATCTGCTCGGTATATAATCACCTGCACAGTGATTATACATAGCTTGGTTTTCATTTCTGGAGCAGTTGCATAATAGACTTTTTATGTATTCTTTTGTAGTAATACCTGCAATCTTTATTAGAGGTTCTTAGCAGATAAAAGACTGTGTGACTGGTTACCTTATGCATGAACACAACAAAAGGTAATGCCCAGTTTCCAACTAGTTATTTATCAGAGAAAAGTACTCCCCACCCTATAATTGATCCTTTAGAATTATTTAC